GCCACCTCCCAACACGGCCAATGAGAACGGGGTTTGTCACGTGACCAAAGCGTGGCCAATTGTAGCTAGTTCAGCTCTCGCCTTGCCGCTGTGCGTCGCAGAGTGAAACCCGCTGCAGCGTTTCACCGGTAATCACGACGACGACGACGATGACAGCCGGCGGCAGCGTCATCAGCTGCGAGCCACAGAGTCGTGGAGAAATCCTCCTCCTGTCTCTCCGCACGCTGGTGGCAAGTAGCCGTGGTCATAGTGATGCAGATGACCAGGAGCTGTAGCGAATCCGGTGAGCGAGTGGCCGGAGCGAATCCGGTGAGCGAGTTGCCGGAGAGATTCCGGTGAGCGAGGTGAGTTGCCGTAGAGAATCCGGTGAGCGAGTGACCGGAGCGAATCCGGCGAGCGACACCCGAACCGGCCTTGACTCTCCCGCGGCGTGACTTGCCCATAAACCCGCGGCCCGCGCAAGTGTCAACGGAGCCCCCCCCCGCTCCCCGCGTTTCTATTGAGCGACAGTGGTGGGGGGTGGGGGGTGGGGGGGGCTCGGAGAGAATCAGAAGCGGCTCCTCCTGGCTGTGAGGAGGAGGATCAGCTGATTGTGGGTGGAGTGGAGTGGGGGGTGGGTGGGGGGGTGGGGGTGGGGCGGTGGGGAGACCTCACCCAGCGGGCGGCCTGTGGGTCGGTGTTGATGGTGCCACCGTTGGCGAGGCTCCTGGTTGCACTTTGGGCAGCAGCAGCAGCAGCTGCAGCAGCATCAGCAGCAGCATCAGCAGCAGCATCAGCAGCATCAGCAGCAGCATCAGCAGCAGCATTAGCAGCAGCATCAGCATCAGCAGCATCTCCCTCCTGCGTGATGGCGAGCCTTGCGCCACGCAGGGACAGCTGCCACTGGGGGAGCCCCCCCCTAGGCCGGACCACAGCAGCAGCAGCAACATCGCCCCCCCCACGCTGTAGGAGAGAAACTGGACACTTGTTATGTTTACAAATTATTATTTGGCCACGTGGCCCAGCGAGAGGTCTGCGAGGTCAATCCCGGCTGGCAGGGTGGGTAGGGGAGTGGGTGGGGGTGGGGTGGCTGACTCAGCCCATCGGCATCCCGCGACACGGGCACCTCGCGGGAGGATGTCACCGTGCGGAGGATGTCACCGCGTGGAGGATGTCACCGATGTGGAGGATGTCACCGTGTGGAGGATGTCACCGTGTGGAGGATGTCACCGTGTGGAGGATGTCACCGGCGGAGGATGTCACCGCGTGGAGGATGTCACAGTGTGGAGGATGTCACCGTGTGGAGGATGTCACCGCGTGGAGGATGTCACCGTGTGGAGGATGTCACCGTGTGGAGGATGTCACCGTTGTGGAGGATGTCACCGCGTGGAGGATGTCACCGCGTGGAGGATGTCACCGCGTGGAGGATATCACCATGCGGAGGATGTCACCACGCGGAGGATGTCACCGTGTGGAGGATGTCACCCGCGGAGGATGTCACCGTGAGGAGGATGTCCCGTGTGGAGGATGTCACCGTGAGGAGGATGTCACCGTGGGGAGGATGTCACCGTGGGGAGGATGTCACCGTGCGGAGGATGTCACCACGCGGAGGATGTCACCACGCAGAGGATGTCACTGTGTGGAGGATGTCACCGTGTGGAGGATGTCACCGTGTGGAGGATGTCACCACGCTGAGGATGTCACCACGCGGAGGATGTCACCATGCGGAGGATGTCACCGTGCGGAGGATGTCACCACGCGGAGGATGTCACCGTGTGGAGGATGTCACCTCGTGGAGGATGTCACCGTGCAGAGGATGTCACCGTGCAGAGGATGTCACCACGTGGAGGATGTCACCGTGTGGAGGATGTCACCGTGTGGAGGATGTCACCACGCGGAGGATGTCACCGTGTGGAGGATGTCACCGTGCGGAGGATGTCACCGTGCGGAGGATGTCACCGTGTGGAGGATGTCACCACGCGGAGGATGTCACCGTGTGGAGGATGTCACCGTGCGGCGGATGTCACCACGCGGAGGATGTCACCACGCGGAGGATGTCACCGTGTGGAGGATGTCACCGTGTGGAGGATGTCACCGTGCGGAGGATGTCACCGCGCGGAGGATGTCACCGCGTGGAGGATGTCACCGTGTGGAGGATGTCACCACGCGGAGGATGTCACCGTGTGGAGGATGTCACCGTGTGGAGGATGTCACGTGCGGAGGATGTCACCGTGCGGAGGATGTCACCGTGTGGAGGATGTCACCACGCGGAGGATGTCACCGTGTGGAGGATGTCACCGTGTGGAGGATGTCACCACGCGGAGGATGTCACCGCATGGAGGATGTCACGCGCGGAGGATGTCACCACGCGGAGGATGTCATCGCGCGGAGGATGTCACCACGCGGAGGATGTCACCACGCGGAGGATGTCACCACGCGGAAGATATCACCGTGCGGAGGATGTCACCACGCGGAGGATGTCACCACGCGGAGGATGTCACCACGCGGAGGATGTCACCACGCGGAGGATGTCACCGTGTGGAGGATGTCACCGCGTGGAGGATGTCCCCGTGTGGAGGATGTCACCGCGTGGAGGATGTCACCGTGTGGAGGATGTCACCACACGGAGGATGTCACCGTGCAGAGGATGTCACCGTGCAGAGGATGTCACCACGTGGAGGATGTCACCACGCGGGGATGTCACCACGCGGAGGTATGTCACCGCGCGGAGGATGTCACCGCGCGGAGGATGTCACCGCGCGGAGGATGTCACCGCGCGGAGGATGTCACCACGCGGAGGATGTCCACCGCCGTGGAGGATGTCACCGTGCGGAGGATGTCACCACTGCGGATGGATGTCACCGTGTGGAGGATGTCACCACGCGGAGGATGTCACCGTGCGGAGGATGTCACAGTGTGGAGGATGTCACCGTGAGGAGGATGTCACAGTGGGGAGGATGTCACCGTGCGGAGGATGTCACCGTGTGGAGGATGTCACCACGCGGAGGATGTCACCACTCGGAGGATGTCACCGTGTGGAGGATGTCACCGTGTGGAGGATGTCACCGCGTGGAGGATGTCACCGCGTGGAGGATGTCACCGCGTGGAGGATGTCACCGCGTGGAGGATGTCACCGTGTGGAGGATGTCACCGTGCGGAGGATGTCACCACGCGGAGGATGTCACCATGCGGAGGATGTCACCGTGCGGAGGATGTCACCACGCGGAGGATGTCACCGTGTGGAGGATGTCACCTCGTGGAGGATGTCACCGTGCGGAGGATGTCACCACGCGGAGGATGTCACCGTGTGGAGGATGTCACCTCGTGGAGGATGTCACCACGTGGAGGATGTCACCACGTGGAGGATGTCACCGAGTGGAGGATGTCACCACGCGGAGGATGTCACCGAGTGGAGGATGTCACCAAGCGGAGGATGTCACCGTGTGGAGGATGTCACTGCGTGGAGGATGTCACCGTGTGGAGGATGTCACGTGTGGAGGATGTCACCGTGTGGAGGATGTCACCGTGTGGAGGATATCACCGTGTGGAGGATGTCACCGTGTGGAGGATGTCACAGTGTGGAGGATGTCCACCACGCGGAGGATGTCACCGTGCGGAGGATGTCACCGTGCGGAGGATGTTCACCGTGTGGAGGATGTCACCACGCGGAGGATGTCACCGTGCGGAGGATGTCACCGTGCGGAGGATGTCACCACGCGGAGGATGTCACCACGCGGAGGATGTCACAGTGCGGAGGATGTCACCATGTGGAGGATGTCACCACGTGGAGGATGTCACCACGTGGAGGATGTCACCACGTGGAGGATGTCACCACGTGGAGGATGTCACCGTGTGGAGGATGTCACCGTGTGGAGGACGTCACCGTGTGGAGGATGTCACCGTGTGGAGGATGTCACCACGTGGAGGATGTCACCACATGGAGGATGTCACCGTGTGGAGGATGTCACCGTGTGGAGGATTGTCACCGTGTGGAGGATGTCACCACGTGGAGGATGTCACCCCCCGTGTGGGGAGGATGTCACCTGTGGGAGGATGTCACCATGTGGAGGATGTCACCACGCGGAGGATGTCACCATGTGGAGGATGTCACCATGTGGAGGATGTCACCGCGTGGAGGATGTCACCACGTGGAGGATGTCACCATGTGGAGGATGTCACCGTGTGGAGGATGTCACCACGTGGAGGATGTCACAACGTGGAGGATGTCACCATGTGGAGGATGTCACCATGTGGAGGACGTCACCACGTGGAGGATGTCACCGAGTGGAGGATGTCATCGTGCGGAGGATGTCACCACGCGGAGGATGTCACCGTGTGGAGGATGTCACCGTTTGGAGGATGTCACCGTGTGGAGGATGTCACCGCGTGGAGGATGTCACCGTGTGGAGGATGTCACCACGCGGAGGATGTCACCGTGTGGAGGATGTCACCTCGCGGAGGATGTCACCGCATGGAGGATGTCACCACGCGGAGGATGTCACCGTGTGGAGGATGTCACCGTGTGGAGGATGTCACCGCGTGGAGGATGTCACCGCGTGGAGGATGTCACCGTGTGGAGGATGTCACCACGCGGAGGATGTCACCATGCGGAGGATGTCACCACGCGGAGGATGTCACCACGCGGAGGATGTCACCGTGTGGAGGATGTCACCGCGTGGAGGATGTCACCGTGTGGAGGATGTCACCACGCGGAGGATGTCACCGTGCGGAGGATGTCACCACGTGGAGGATGTCACCACGCGGAGGATGTCACCACGCGGAGGATGTCACCGTGCGGAGGATGTCACCGCGCGGAGGATGTCACCGCGTGGAGGATGTCACCGTGCGGAGGATGTCACCGTGCGGAGGATGTCACCACGCGGAGGATGTCACCATGTGGAGGATGTCACCACGCGGAGGATGTCACCGTGCGGAGGATGTCACCGTGTGGAGGATGTCACCGTGAGGAGGATGTCACCGTGCGGAGGATGTCACCGTGTGGAGGATGTCACCACGCGGAGGATGTCACCACTCGGAGGATGTCACCGTGTGGAGGATGTCACCGTGTGGAGGATGTCACCGTGTGGAGGATGTCACCACGCGGAGGATGTCACCACGCGGAGGATGTCACCGTGCGGAGGATGTCACCGCGTGGAGGATGTCACCGCGTGGAGGATGTCACCGTGCGGAGGATGTCACCACGCGGAGGATGTCACCATGCGGAGGATGTCACCGTGCGGAGGATGTCACCGCGCGGAGGATGTCACCGTGTGGAGGATGTCACCACGCGGAGGATGTCACCGTGTGGAGGATGTCACCTCGTGGAGAATGTCACCGCGTGGAGGATGTCACCACG